AAATAGAAAAAAAAAAAAACATGATTGGGACTATAGTCCTTGGTAGACAAATTTTTGAAGCCTTTCTAGCTGTGATCCAACCCACTAATTTTGACCCTTTATATTTTAGTTTAAACTTACTGGTTTTAAAGCCTTTCCCCCCTATAAACTGCTCTTGAATCAGATTTCTCCCTTGGTATACTGCAACACTAATTTGCTTTTTACCCAAGTGGACATGTTTTCCTTAATCTCCCCTAAATTTCATATAATTGATTTTGCCCACCAATTAAGCTGTCTACCACATTAAGGTATTTTAGAACTTTGGTTCTATTATCCAATGCAGGAATTTTCTTCTCTATTTTAATGCCAACCATTAAGTTAAAAATCCATGATGCCTTCAATCTCATTGTTAATTAACTTGTCAAGCAGAGTGGGATTAATGAGAGCCTCACAGCACTCCACTAGAGATATCCTTCAAGACTGGCAACTGCCCTCACAGCCATACTTTGGGTACCATTGTACAATCCGCTGTGAATTTGCCTTATTATGCTGTCATCTAGCTTACTTTTCTAACCAAGTTGTCATATGGTATTTTGGGAGATTTATCAGATGCATTGCTAAAATCTGACACTAAAATGGATTTAGTGTCTAAATCTAAATTTTACCGCCCTAGTAACCATTTTATGAACAGAAGTACAGTTACTTTTATTGCATTTCCTACTGAATCCATGAAACATTTCAGTGATCACTTCTATTTTTTAAATGCTAATGCTTCATGTTTTTAATTACTCATTGCATAAACAAATTGTGAGAGATCCAACCAGTGGAATATTTACCAGCAATACAAGAAATAATCTTTTGATAAATACAGCATGGATGAATCTCAAAATATTTTGCTAAATGAGAGAAAACAGTCACAAAGGTCTACAAACTTTATGATTCAGTTTATATGACATTCAACAGGAGAGTAAAACTATAAGGACAAAAACTAGAGCATTGAGTGCTAGGAACTGAGGGTGGAAAATTTGAATTAAGCCAAGCACACAGTGACACATATCATATGATCTCACTTATATGTGACCAATGTCTCTTCATTTCCCCCACCTAGCCCTGTCAACCACTCTAATCTCTGTGGTTCAACTTTTTAGATTAAATATGTAAGTGATGAACTTCCATGTTGTTTTCTTAATGGCTGTACCGGTGTATGTTCTCACCGACAGTGTACTATGGTACCATTTCTCTACAGCCTCACTAGCACTTTTTATCTCTTATCTTTTTTATAATAGCCACCCTAATGTGTGTGAGGTGATATCTCATTATGACTTGAGTTTGCATATCCCTGATGATTAGTGGTATTGAAAATCTTTTCACGTACCTATTTGTCATTTTAATGTCATCTTTGAGAAAACATCTATTCGTATCCTTTGCCCATTTTCTAATCAGATTATTTGCTTTTTGCTATCGAAGTCTGTATGATTTCCTTATATACTTTTGATACTAATCCCACATTAAAAATATGTGGTTTGCTCGTACATTTTCTCTTTTTGTGAGTTGCCTTCTCATCCTGTTCTTTCCTTTACTATCTCTAGCTTTTTAGTTTGATGTAGTTCCAGTTGCTTATTTTTGCTTTTGTTCCCTGTGCTTTTGGTGTCATATGCAAAAAATCATCACAGATAACCTTAGTTTGTTCTCTGCCTAGTACTAAAAATCAACCCTTCCCTATCTACTTTGCTTTTATTTTTTTTGTATATTCTATATTAATCTCTTCTCTTATTTAGTATGTCACTGTGAATGAGATGTACATATTTTTCTGAAATGATTGGGACTAACAATATCATGAAGTTATCAGTAATCCTTTTTAATTATCTTGTGATAGCAGACTTTTTGTTAGGTATTCTGAAACAATAGTAGATCACTTAATTAATTGGATCCATAAATTTCACTGAAAACTGCTAGAAAAGAGACTGTGTCTTATAATTAGCATCATGCCATGCATGCTTTTTGATGTGCAAGTAATGTTAAATTAGGTAGTAAAGGATACTTACATAATATTTTGCATGTTTAAAAATACTTTCCTGTGTTGATTATTGCACAATTTTAAACTTTTCTGTGAAATTAAGTGCTTTTTCAATTTCCTTCACCTTCTGTCCATGTCTTGGTTTTAAAGTAAGAACTGTARGCAGTAACACAGTTAAATTGAAGCTTAGAGTTAGAAAGGACCTTGTATATGCTGTAGTCATGCTACTGTCATCTTACAAGGTTAAATAATGTCCCTAAAATAATGAAGTACCTCAGGTCAGCATAGGTGTATGAGGATTTTGTAAAACCGGTTCTCAATCTGGACAAAAGATAACAGTGCAATCTGATAATGATAAATTACAGATTTTGGAATCAAGAAAGTATGTCAGCTGAGAATTGATATCCTTCATTATGACAACAACTCTTTTCACATAATGACAATTAAAGCAGTCTGTACTTGAGGTTTTAAAGTCCTGCTCTTATGTAAGAAAGTAAGAAGAATCATCATATTCCCGTCTTGTAAGTCAGCCCACAGAACAAAACTGTCAGAGAACTTAAGCTTAAATTGCTAATAGAAATGTCATTTATCAAAGAAAAAGAATAAATGTAAACTTAGCCTGAGAGGAAACTAAATGCAAAGTCAATTCCTAAGACACATTATTTAGTTTCATCCTCTGGGCCTCATCCTCTGGTCTGTAAAATGTAATAATAATACCTGCTTCATTTTGTTGTTTTGTTTTATTTTTTAATACTGAAAGTTGAAATCAGGGTCTTGTGCATGCTAGACAAGTACTCTACCACTGAGTCACATCTCCAGCCCAATACTACCTATTACTTGGTGTTGTAGTTAGTTTTATATAAGGTGATACAGATAAATAATTTAGGCCTGGAGTATGTTTGTTGACAATTCAAATGGTGGCTAAAAACTTTAATAATTATCTGAGTGAAACTAAATACTATAGACTCAAATGCTGATAAAGAGGTCAGTCACAACCAAGAGAATATGCCAATATGGTGGAAAATAAAATTTATGTAATGCTCCAAGGAACCCTAAGTATGAATAAAACTTAAGAACAGTTTGTGTCCACCGCCAAGAAGCTACACATTAAGGGAAGGTGTTACTCAGCACATTCGGTGGGTGCTACCATAACCACTTCTTCTGCTACTAAATTCATTTGTTTTCCAGGGACCCTGAGAGATCCCAAATCATATCAATTCCCCTCTAGTTGTCTCATTATAGAAATGGGGCTGAAATCAGTTTTCCCTTTCAACAATGTAAGACAATGCAGCAAAGATATGCATATATTCAAACCATGGTGTCTCATACTACAACATTGGTGCAAATAATTGCCCAAACCATGAATATTCTTGTTTTCTACATAGTGGAAAACTGAAATGTTTTGTGCTTTTTAATGTATATTAATTATGATTGAGGCATAAGACAAACTTTGTAAAATATCCAAAGAAAAGATGATGGGACCATGAAGGACATGCAGAAAACTTTACCCTTAACCATGTAAATGTCACAATAAAGAATATCTATATTTAATTAAGCATTTATGGTAGGTATGGCATCACTTGCGCTCTATGTGTGAATTAATATACACAACAATCTCATATGGTAGATCCTACTATTGCTTCCTGTGAGGTATATTAGTAGGCTGCCTTAGATTCCAAATCCCTCGTTTACATTGTTCTAAAATCTCATTTAAAAATCTCATTATTGTGCTTGATAAGCATGTGTAAGGATCTGGGTTTGATCCCCAGCACCACAGAAATAAATAAATACATAAAATCTCATTATATGCTGTTAAAAATTATGTATCTTAAGAGAAGTAACAAAGATTTTAGCATATTATGAAGAATCAATAGCATTTAATTTTAAAACTGCTAGTGTCATAGTAACTATAACAACCTCAGATACGTAAACAGTTAATAGTTTCATTTATTAAGTATATTTTATCTGTATATATACACACAATGTTTCATATAGTACAATATAAGATAAGTATGGTTTTGTGTATTATTAAAAGTTATGGGAAGCAAACCAAGAGTGTTACTTCAGAACAATTGATACAAATGAAAAAAAAATGTGTATAGTTTCTAGTCACAGAAAAGAGAATCTACCTTAAGTATTTATTCAACAAGAATCATCATTATAGCTGGAATGGCTATCTATGCTGAGGTTACCACAACATTCTCCACACTACATACTAGTTATGATTATTAGTTAATTAGTTTGCTAACAAGACCCAAAAAGAGAGGGGCTTACATGAGATGGAATTTTAATTATTCTCTTATTTAGGAGTCTGGAGGTGGATAGGTTCCTTCCACTTTGTTCTGTCTCTGTTATCAACATGATTTCTTCATCTGTATAATGCATAGAATCTTTGAGAAGAAATAGAAGGCACTTGATTGTCTTTTTAATCAAGTAAGAACTGCATATCACTTCCTTTATATTCTATTATGGATAGATTAGTTCCATGTCCAAATGCCAAAAAAGAAGCTCAGCAATGTCATCTGTAGCTAGGTGGCCACATGCCCAGAAAAAATCTTCATTAATATAGAGGGAAAAAAAGAATGGAGTGATAAGAATAAATTGCTATCAAGGACACTCAACCAATTATGATTTTCTTGATGGGTGATTTATGCCATACAACTATATGTTCGTTAAAGCAAGGTAATTTCCACATGTAGGAAGTTACATTTTTTTAATCTACTTCCTAATGAGATAGAAAATCAAATCATGTGTTTAATACTCAGACTTGCTAATAATTAGTGTATAACAAGTTTGTCAATGATAAGTCTTTCCAAATAGGTCCTAAACTTGGTCAGCGGCAGTACCTGAATTGTCTTATATCCTCCACAATATTCAAAAACATTTGGGAGAATAATAAATGAATGTTCAGTTGAATGTTCTGGATGAAGTGGGGGTGGGTGTTCTGGTCCAAATCATACCACAAGTTATCCACCTACCTTTTCTTACCACTTCTCATTTCCAGTTTGATCACTCATGGCTTTGGGACTCCAGCAATATGTGCAGCTCTAAGCACTTTCCAGACAGTCCTCAGTGAAATGCTGAACTACTTGGAAAAACACACTTCTCACAAAAACGGTGGAGCAGCGGATTCTGGCCAAGGACATGCCAACTCCGAGAAAGCCCCCCTGCGGAAAACTTCAGAGGCTGCTGTGAAAGAGGGCAAAACAGAAAAGACAGACTAGCTACATCAAACAGAATCTATTTCCAGAGAGTCTTGCTGCTGATATTTTTTCTAATATATATATCATTGAGGGTGACTAATCTTCAGTGGACCAAATCTCTACCCTCCCCCAACCCACCATAAAAAACAAAAGTGGAAATGAAAAATGAAACAAAAAAAAAGGACAAATCCAAAAAATGAAAAAAAAAGGAAAACAGCAGTGTAACCGTGTGATGAAATTGTCACTTTTTAATTTTATGTTATGATAAACTCCTTTGGTGCACGTAGTTTATTGTTCTGAATTATATACATCACAGTTTTGAAGCACTTCTGGACTTTGGAGAGGCAGCACATGCTTTTTCACATTTAACCAATGCACTTTCTTATCCAGCTTTGTAGTTAGGGATCAGAAAGCATGACCAAACTGGAACCCACCACCAGTGCTTACAGCTCCAGTCTTTCCTCAACTCCCTGTTAACAGAACAATGCCTCTTTCCACTCAAATAGACCAATCTGGAAAATTAAATTCATTAATAAATGTTTGGGGAACTAAAAAGGGCAGTCATGAATTTTTGTCCTATGAACTGACAGCAATTCTAAAAATTTGGTCTCACACCTAGTCTACCCAACTACCAATGCCTTGGTGGTATTTAAAAATTCCAGAAAACTCTGTTCCTTCTATGATGGCCTCCCAGATCCATTTATCCCCCTGATAGCTAAGAAGACATTCAGAAGTTATACCACTGTCAGGATAAGAAATGGATCTTCTCTCCCTTCTCCTCATGATACCCACTTAACAGTTCAAGCAAAACAGACTGCCTGTAGGGGAAGGTAGGTGGACACAGGAGAGGGCAGCTCCACCACTCTTGGGCTCTTCTTCATGGAAAGCAGGGGTGTTTTGTCTAAAAATGTATGGGAATAGGAACAGTGATCTTTCTGGGATGTCCTGCCCCTCAGAAATCATAGAAGAGACCAGGGAACTAGTGGAGGCCCCTTTAAAACACCAGTGGCCAATGATTTTAGGGTTAAGATGAGAACCACTTCTTTTGTGCTTCCTCGACCTGCCCAATAGTTGTGTTCTAAACCTTGAGAGGCACAAAACATTAGGATCTGTGTTCAATAAAGAAAAGGAAACAGATTGATCAGAGAAGATTTTGCTGTTCGGAGGATTCCTTTTGTTTATTTATTTTTTCCTAGCTTGTTCTTACAGCTCTGTTATACTTTTCTTAAAAGACACTGAAAAACAAGAGGTTCCCATTTTCGACAGAGGCCAGGGACTAACTAACTAATCGAATGAAAGTTTAGTCCACATAATCCTGGATATGTTGAGAAACCTGATTTGGTACCACATGGTACTATACCTTCTATTGTTAACAATTTTCAAAATTCTATGTAGGCAAGTGAATATATAGATCATCCTCTATATTAAAAAAATCATTTTAATAATGTGTGGATTCCCAAACTTAGTTTAGCATGATAATATTATCCTCTCATTAACATATTTCAATTACTTTTAAAAATCTACCATATTTTTAACTCCATAGGGAATATTAGTATTATATTTAATTGAGAGGAAAAGCTCATTTTTTCATGTAGAAATCACATAAATTATTTTTACTGACTAATAATTCTTAAAATCTTTTGAGCTTTGAATCTGTACAGAAAAGAAGAACTATAAGCTAGGCATGATAGTGTATTTCTGTAATCCCAGCTAATAGAGAGGCTGAGGCAGCAGGATGGCAAGTGTAAGGCCATCCTCAGCAACTTAGTGAGACCCTATCTCAAAAAACAATAAAATAAATATATAAATAAATAAAGTAATGGGGTAAAGAAAAAAAGTAATCATGACCAATGAAACCTTAAATATTCCAGATTAAATTCAAGTATAGAGAAAACACTACTAAGGAATTCCATAATAAAGGACTTTATAATTACACAGTGGGAGACCTTAAATAAAAAAATGTAAAAATAATTAATTGTGATTTCATATGTTGTTCCATTTTTTAATTTTACCATTATTCGTGGCCTCAAAATTTTTTTGAAATATAATAAAGCTGAGATTCTGCTGCAGTTCCAAATTTCATCACAAAATAACTGATTCCATCTTACATAAAATTTCCCATGTTGTAAAATATACACATAAAACAAAAATGGTAAGTATTTCAGTTTAATAGGGAAGTCATATACAAATAATGTGGGTAACTGTTTTCTTAATGAAATTTCCACGTTAACTTTATTTATTCCACTTATGATTAACAATACATATGTATTTAATATGGCATTTTGATATGCATATCTGCTCGGTGTTTAATGTAGTTTATATACCATGTCCAATGTTCACCAATAATTAAAAATTAGATCTGGCTTATATTACCAGCTTATTTCTTCACCCTTAGTTGTGACTAGTTTGGGTTCTAAACACCTTAATGGGGTGTTGTTATTTATTAGCCTTGGAAACAAAAGCATAACTATAACTACAGTGCATATTACTTACCAGGATTTTGGGTGTTCTAAGAGCCTTAAATGGACAGCACCCATCATTTAACTTAACCAGCCATTAGAACCTAAGTGAATTGATGGACTGGTCCTGTTTAGAATCATCATTTATTATCATATTCTAATAGACATTGTTGACATCAACTTTTGCCTTGTATATAATAGGTATTCAACTCTTTTTAAATAAATGAATAAATAAATGTGTGTTTKTTCTTTGTCCAAAGTGGGCCAAAGGACCTTCTAGTTTTGATGTTGTCTTTCAATACTCAATCTAACTTGCTTCCTTCATGGCAACTTATGGCTACTTATATTTATTTGAATAAGGAAATATTTCCACGATAGCAWATTAGTTGCAAGGTGATATAATTAACATAAAACAATAAAGAAAGCTAGTTAGGTATAAGAATTTCAATAAGAATAAAGGTAAAATCGTTATCATAGTGTATAGTTCAAAAAGTAGCTAACAAAAGTCTGTCTGATTTCCAGTGTTATAATAAGTAGTTAAAGAATGAAGAAGCTTTTTCAGATTAACCAATACTTGCACAGAAAAAAACTGTACAGACCTCTTATACTCATGCAAAATAAATAATGACAGCATAARATTTAAGCTTAATGAAGGAGTAAATCAAATTTATATACAAAGAAATGTTTGTCTTCAGACTGTTTCAATAATCAATTTAAGTCTCATTATCATGCTGTTTATTTCATTAGAGTTACTATTTGACTTAAGTTTGGTGGTTCTAGAAAAATGAATGAAATCTCTGAATTACTGTATATTATTTTCTCTGGAAAAATCAGAGCAACTGGAATGATTCCTAAGCTCTTCTCCTCCTGCCTTCTTTTCACCCACCTTAACAGTAAGGGTGATGCTTCCTGGCTCTGTGTTCCTTTTGCTTTTCCCTGCCTTGCGGGTATATTCTCTCCAATGATAGGACAGAACATGACCATGTAGCTCTATGAACAGCTGAGCTGAGCTGAGAGTGATAGAAACTTTACCTCTTGTCACTTCATGCTTTTAAAATAAATATGTCAATAAATTATCCTTACGAGTGATAAATAAAACAATAAAATCCATTTTCTTTTATGCCTCTTTGGAAGCATTTTAGAACAATGGGATTTTTAAAATATGTATCAGGATCCTTTACACAGTGTGTCATCTTCTTTCAAAAATCAAGTCAACATATATGAGAAAATGGTAAGGCCTAGTGGCTGAGCTATGGACTCTAAAGCCAAACTGCCAGTGTTCAAGTTATGGTTATTTCTCTTTCTACAATGTGACCTTAAACAAGTTGCTGAACCTCTCTGTGTTTCCACAATTTTTCCATCTGTAAAATGAGAATAATGGTACTTATCTACTTCGAGAATTACTGTCATAATTGGAATCAGTGTTTCTGAACTGCTTAGGGCAGAAAAGGAGACTATTGGTGTTATGTTTTAGCCATTGTCTTTTTGTGTGGACACTACTAGAATTGAACCCAGAGATTCACACATGCTAGGCAAGCACTCTACCACGGAAGTATTTGCCAAGCCCTTTTAAAATTTTATTTTGAGATAAGGTTTCACTAAGTGTCCCAGGTGGCTCTCAAACATGTGATCCTCCTGACTCAGCCTCCCTATTAGTTGGGATCACAGGCACGCATCACCATACCTGCCTACTTATTTTCTTTAATATTAGAATTTCGACAAATATTTTCTTACCTGAAGATCAATTTCTCCTCAGTATATCAAACCCTTTCAATGCCAGGCTGTGTCCTAGAGACTGAAGATACAAAGGGCAGTGGAACATTTTCATGTGGTTGGGCTTCTGGGTTTCTGATGAAGACAGCAGCCTGCGGAACATGGTAAGTGCCAGCTCTTATGAAAACTCACATGAGTGTTCCAGCACAAACATGACTTGGTTCTGGGAAACAGGAGTTGTGGGAGGGAGCTGAAAATCAAAGAAGCAGGTGATCAGAGAAAGGGAAGAGTGCCGATCTGGGGGAAAAAAAAAAAAGGGTGGGGGACTTCAATTCTGGGAGAATTAAAAACATTTGGGGCAGGATGCTAGTTTGAAAACTAGCTGGTAGGCCTTGTATTCCTACCTTCCTCCCCCACTTTGGAGCACCTAATACTTTGTCCATGTGGCCTCAGGAAAGGAATATGAACCCCAAGTATGCAGGCAACAAAAGAGTCAAACTTTTGTACAAATTATCAGTTTCAAAATCTTAAGGCCTAAGGGAGACTTGAGGTTTAAAAGCTTATCAATCAGGAAGTCAGATCCTATGTGGACATGGTGAAGATTTGTGCCTACTTCTTCTTCTACTAGGCACAGGGTCTCTGTTCTGGTGCCTAAGTCTTTGATCCACTTTGAATTGAGTTTTGTGCAGGGTGAGAGATAGAGGTTTAATTTCATTTTGTTACATATGGATTTCCAATTTTTCCAGCACCATTTGTTAAACAGGATATCTTTTCTCCAGTGAATGTTTTTGGTGACTTTGTTTAATATGAGATAATTATATTTATGTGGATTTGTCTCTGTGTCTTCTATTCTGTACCATTGGTCCATGTATCTGTGTTGGTGTCAATATCATGCTGTTTTGTTGCCAAAGTCTTGGCTGGACACAAGATCTCGAGCCACTCACAGCTTTGTAGATTCAAACAGCAATTCTTTATTCCCGAACTCACACTGGCCTCTACAAACACATTCTGGGGAAAATC